TTTGAAACTCTCTCCCCACAAAGTTTCTTCTGATACTGGAGCTGCAGTTGGTGTCAGATGAAAGCATTTTTCATTTTCCCTCTCTCCCCCAGTTGATGTGGCTTTTAAGATGCTAGTTGAAATCTGTTCTTTAGGATATTTACAATTGTTCTCCCAAATATTCCTGATGCTGCTTTAATAGGCTTTTTATCTACTAAAACTTTCGTTTTCATGCTTCATTTTATTACTTTGTATCATTGTGTTTTTTCTATTGTAATTTTCTCCTGGTTTTAGTAAGCTTTCTCAAATATACTTCTACAGAATGTAGGCGATAAATATTATCAATAAATACTATAGTGCCCCTGTATATTTTCTCTTGCAAGAAGAAAAGCATAAAAGAGTGATTTTTGAATAGACAGATACAATGGCCACTCAAAGCCTTCTAGCTTTAGGCCAGACTACTCTAATGAGCCTCGTGCGGGACTACCCTGGATGACTGTCCAAGAAATTAGTTCTACTGCAAATGTAGGTTTCTGGAAAAGGTGGTCCAGTGAGAGCACATTATGCTTCCGCATTTTCACTGGCTTCTTGTTGCCTTATGGATAAAATTCATGGTGCTAGTTTTAACCCACCTGGTTACTCGTACTTGCCGTCTGTTCCCTAGGAATCACAGTATGTGACACGTGAGCCCCAGATTCTCTGCAGTCTGTACAAAGTGGGATTTGATCCTCCACGCAGAAGAGACGTACATCTTCTCCATGTTTTTCACACACATCCTCAGCTGAGAGTCCTGTTTCCTCTACAGTTCTAAGTCTAGGGCTATCTCCCATTTTCGCAGGAGGTTCCAGATTTGGATATGTCCTTTTGTCCTGGACGATTTCTCTGCCACTGGAGTCAGTGACTTTCTCTTTTAGGGTTTTCCCCCGAGGATCACTTGGTGCCTGTGTAACCTCAGTGTCTAGGGGTTATACACACTTTGCAAAAGTTGTGCTCGCAGAGTCTGGTGGCCAGATGTTGGGAGAAGGCTCCAAACAAACCAAATGCTTTCTTTCTTTGACTTTTTTGAAAAGTATACATTCACAGCACTCACTGCAGAAAACAGAGGAGACATTCTTACACATTCAGAAGGAGTTATAAGAGATTCACAAAATGTAAGCAGTTAAAGTTTTCACGGGTAGGTGGGGCTTAGTTTTGGGCTGCAGCTAGTTTCACTGAAATCCCGTTGAAATTAATGGGCCTGGTTAGTTGTGACTAGCTCAATTATTATTTCAAGGGGATAGAAGTGTTACTAATGTCAGGTGGACCAGGGCCTTTATTTTTAACCCTTTGTCAACACCACTACTGACCCATTATCAGTGGGGCAATACTATATAAGAGCTGCTTGCCACAGTGGGACATCCTGCCCCCTCATTCCAGAGTGATAGCCATGTTCAAGCTGTTACAGGAAACCAAAAAGTAATTTCTGTAATGCCTTAACAGTAACCTCAAATGAGAAGATGCTAGATTTGATGGGGTCTAAGCTTTTATGGGCTAGAGCCTGTGTCATAGGATGCATATAGTGTGTCAAGTGTGACTAATGTTAGGTGGACCAGGGCCTTTATTTTTAACCCTTTGTCAACACCACTACTGACCCATTATGAGTGGGACAATACTATATAAGAGCTGCTTGCCACAGTGGGACATCTTGTCCCCTCATTCCAGAGTGATAGCCATGTTCAAGCTGTTACAGGAAACCAAAAACTAATTTCTGTAATGCCTTAACAGATGGTTTTGGTACCTCAAATGGGAAGATGCTAGATTTGATGGGGTCTAAGCTTTTATGGGCTAGAGCCTGTGTCATAGGATGCATATAGTGTGTCTTCACTTAGCAGACATGTGGACACAGGGGAAACAGGCAAATGCCAAAGTCTGGAGGCCATGAAATGTGAGAGGTACAGTCTGTGACATTTTCATGCAATGTTAAAATGTAGACCAGTAAGGCACTATGACTGTTCACAACAGCAATAATTTATCACACTTTTTATCAGGGCTGCTTCTTCTTCTTCTTCTTTTTGAAAAAGGTGCCAGAACTCTCAAGGGGGAAAGGAAGTTTTCAATCTGCATATTGAAAACTCATGAACTTTTAAACATTCACTTAACCACTACACCAAACTGGCTCTCAAAAGTATTTGGTCAAAGAGGTTCCGGAACTCCATTCCAGCATGTTCCCCCAGAAAAGAAGCTCTGCTTTTTATCATGCAGAAACTTGCTCTGTCTGTGCACCGTGGTCCCCGTATGAATCGGGGTCCTATGAGATTGTAGAATTGCAAGCACTGCCTTGGCAAATGCTGGGAGTGTCATGTCTGGGTGATGCTTTAGGATATTTCCCCTAATTTGTTGTCGAAGGCTTTCACAGCTGGAGTTCATTAGCTGTTGTAGCTGCCTAATTTATCCGGGTTTCTTTGAAACTGAGAGGTTTGGTCAGACATACCTCCCTTAACCCACCTTACCATGTGTTCACCCTGTGGTTGATCGATCAGATGCGGCAGCCACAGAGTGGGGCGAGGGGCAGTTTTCCTTAATAATTTGTTTTCTAGGCATGCACATAGGCACTTATTGGAAGCAGCGCTTCAAACTCCTGGCAGAATGGCTGCAGCTGGTGACCAATGGGATTGCTGGAGGAGGCTGCTGGGACCTGTAGTTCAGCATGGGGGAAGTGTTTTTTAAACTGTGCTTTTGAAAGCCAAGGGGGAGAAAATGAAAGAGATATGCCTCATCCTGAGAAGGGAGGAGGGAGCTCTCTCTGGTTCAGTTGGAACGGGTGGGTGGAGGGGTGACGAAACTCACAAGTATTGCTTGAAGCACATGTCTGCTTACACGCACATCAGGAACACAAAAAAATGGTGGCAAAGCAGGAAGCCAGTAAGCCAAGGGGGAGAAAATGAAAGAGATAAGCCTCATCCTGAGAAGGGTGGAGGAAGCTCTCTCTGGTTCAGTTGGAATGGGTGGGGGGAGGGGGTGACGAAACTCACAAGTACTGCTTGAAGCACATGTCTGCTTACACAAAAAAAAAATGGTGGCAAAGCAGGAAGCCAGCGATCTGACTTCCCAAATGGCTTCACCATGCAAGAGTGATCACACATCCACAGAAGTGCTGTGAAATCAGTAGGATATATAAATACTGGATTTCGTGTGGTGCCAGGAAAGTCTGGGATAAGCATGGGGGGCTGACTGTGGAACAGGAGGCAGATGTTGCAGTCTTGATGAGCTCTTTAAATCTGTTGGGGAAAAGCAACGGCAACTGATCAAAGTGCTCATTTGATCACAGCCTAAGATGCATCCAGTCCCTTCAGGGGTCAACGGCCACATCAGCAGAAGAGGACAGACAGTTCCAGTGGTGATGGGGGTGGAGAAATCCTTGAAGGGTAGCTACTGAGCAGCAGCAGTAGTGCAAGGTGACACTGGTGGAGGATTTTTCATAGACAACTGTTCCGTCTGGCGCTAAGTCAACAGTGCCTTCTGGACGTGATTCAACGCACGGCCAGAATAAAGTAGAATTAAATCATTTTTTATTAAGCTCCACATGCATTCAGAAGATTTCTTCATTCACAATCAAAGCTGAATAACTGGCGAAATTCACATCTTTGTAATCTAATTCAGTTCACTGGCTCATGGTGAAAAAGATTGCGTGCTCTGACCTCCTTTGCCGTTTAAATAGTAGACAAAGGAAGGGGAAGAAAGCTGTAAACTCAAATCCCCGTGCCTCTGGGCGCAGGAAATGACTGTTAATCAGCCAGTCAGAGGGATGCTTTGGGATGTCTAACTAAAGACTTCAATTCCCAGGGGCAACTGCTCTTAAAGATATATGGCAGTTCTACTTAACTACAGTTAAACGCTGGCTGGGGGCAGCACAACAACAACAGTGACACTTCAACTAACCCTGGTTAGTACTGTGCAGAAGGCAATGGTAAACTACTTCTGATAATCTCTTGCCTTGAAAACCCTATGAAGAGACTGTCCAAAATGAAACAAGATACAGTGCTGGAAGACAGGACCTCCCAGGTCAGATGGCTCTCCATCAGCTACTGGGGAAGAAGTGCAAATAGTGCTATTCTGAACGATGCAACTATACTAAAGCCAAAAGGACATTCAGTTTTCGATGTGAATGGATGCAAAAGGAAAGTCCAAAGCTGTTCAAAACATATAATAAGAACATGAAATGTGAGAAGTAAGAAGATAAACTTGAGTGGTAAGACGAGAAATAGAGTATGGCAATCCTGGGAGCGAGTGAACTACAGTAGACTGGATTAGGGCATTTTCAGTCAGAAAATTACAAAGTGTTTTACTCTGGAAATGACAAACACAGAAGAAATGCAGTTGCTCTAACACTGAGGCGAGATGTAGCTCAAGCAATCATGTAAAGTCTGATCAAATAATATCAATCAGACTTCATGGAAAGCCCATCAACATACACATAATTCAGGTTTATGCCTCAACTATAGAAGAAATGGAAAGCTTTTATACGAGTGTTCAGGAAGAAACTGATCACACACCTAAACAAGATGTGCTGATAAGTGACTGGAGCACAAAAGTAGGAAATAAAACAGAATTAAATAGTGTTGAAAAGTTTGGGCTAGGAGCATAAAATAAAGCAGGAGAGTGATTCATAGAATTCTGTGAAGACAAGAAGACTGATTTTGCAAAAGCAGCTGTTCCACCCTCGGCCTCCCATCCCCCCCCCGGTTGTTCTGCTCAATTTCCTACTACTTGCTGCGTGGCCACATTTTGACCCGTATCTCCACCTGATTTCACCCGTGTCTTCTTGATCCTTGTTTTTTATTTTTTAGGATCAAGAAGATGCAGGGGAAATCGGGGGGAGATGTGGGTCAAAATGCGGCCGCGCAGCAAACAGTGGGAAATTGAACAGTATAACCAGGGGAAACGGGAGACCGAGGGCAGAACAACTGCTTTTGCGGAATTGGTCCAAGTTTTTTGTTGCAAACATGGTTCAGGCAACTAAATAGAGTGACTATTGTACATGTGGACATCACCGGATGGACAAGACAGAAATCAAATAGATTACATAACTGGAATCAGAAGATGGAGATGCTGTATTCTCTCTGCTAAAACAAGACCAGGATATGATTGTAGTACAGGCCACAAAATTGTTGGTATCAAATTGTTACTGTCAAAGAAAAACACCAGAGCATTCATAGTGCCAAAATACAATCTAAACAACATTCCTGAAGAGTTTAAAGACCATGTAAAGAACAGATTTACATTACTAGGTTCAAGTGAACATGAACTGGAAGAATGTACAAAGTCTATTCCTGTAGCCAAAAGAAAAGAAAGGCCTTGGTGGATGACTGATGACACAAAATTATTCAGGGTGCTGAAAATCAAGGCTGACTTTAAAGAGCTCCAAGAGGACCTCCACACACTGGGTGAGTGGGCAACAATGTGGCAAATGAAGTTCAATGCTGGTAAGTGTAAAGTGATGCACACTGGGACAAAAAAAAATCCCAACTTCAAGTATAAGTTAATGAGGTCTGAACTTGCTGAGGCTGAGACAGAAAAAGATCTTGGAGTAGTAGTGGACAGCTCCATGAAAGTACCAACCCAGTGTGCTGCAGAAGTGAAAAGGGCAAATTCTATGTTAGGGATTATTCAGAAAGGGATTGGAAATAAAACGGCTGATGTTGCAATGCCCCTGTATAGATCTATGGTGCAGCCTCCTTTGGAATACTGTGCACAGTTCTGGTCACTGTATCTCCAAAGGAACATTCAGAGTTGGAAAAAGTACAGAGGAGCGCAACCAAAACGATTAAGGGGTTGAAGCACATCCCCTATGAGGAAAGACTGAAGAGTCTGGGACTTTTCAGTTTAGAAAAGCGATGACTAAGGGGGTACATGATAGAGGTTTATAAAATTATGCACGAAATAGAGAGAGTTGACAAAGAGAAATTTTTTCCCCTCTTCCAAAATATTAGAACTTGAGGGCATCCAATTAAGTTGATAGGCATTAGGTTCAGGATGAAAAAAAGAAATACTACTTTACACAGAGAGTGATTAAAATGTGGAATTAGCTGCCAGAGGATGTGGTGATGGCCACAGGAATAAACAGCTTTAAAGGGGGATTAGATAGATTCATGGACGATAAATCTATCAGTGGCTAAACTAGCCATGGTGGCTGAGGGGAATCCCAGAGCCAGGAGGCAACATCAGGGGAAATCCTTGGCCTCTATGCCCTGTTATTGGCTGTCCACAGGAACTGGTTGGCCACTGTGTGAGACAGGATGCTGGACTAGATGGACTACTGGTCTGATCCAGCAGGGCTCTTCTTACGTTCTTATGGATGACTGATGCAACTCTTTAAATTGCTAAACATAGATGGTTAGGTACCAAAAATAAAAGGGGACAGAAATAGAATCAAAAGTCCAAATGTAGCATTCCAATGACTTGCATGTAGAGTAAAAAAGAACTGCTATAATAACCAATGTAAAGAAACAGAAGAGAACAACAAAATAGGAAGAACAAGAGATACATTACACAAGATCCAAGAAATCGAAGTAAAATTTAAAGCATTGTTAGGCGTGCTGAAAGATCATCACAGAAATACATTAACTGAACAGGAGAAAATAAGGATGGGAACAATACACTCAAGAACTGTACAGATGAGATGAAAGGAGAACAGATTCCTTCCAAAACAATTTTGTTGAAAAACCTAGAGTAAAAACTGTAGGGCGAAACACATCACCAGGAGTAGACAGGATATCAATAGAGCTATTCCAAGTCACTGAAATGGAGTCCATCAAAACTTAATAAGATTGTGCCAACAAATATGGAAAACAAACCAATGGCCCACAAACTGGAAACACTCAATTTACATCCCAATCCAAAAGAGGAGCAGTCAAAGACTGCGGCAACTATTGGATCATTGCATTACTTTCTCAAGTAAAGTGATGCTCAAAATCTTAAAGAAAGACTGGTACCATATATGGAATGAGAAACACCAGATGTTCAAGCTGGGTTCAGAAAAGGAAGAGGCACTGGAGACCATATTGCAAATCTATGTTGGTTTATGGAGCATACGAGAGAATTTCAGAAGATAATCACCTTGTGTTTCATAGACTACAGCAAAGCTTTTGACTGTGTGGATCATGAAAAGCTATGGTTGGCTTTAAAGGAATTGGGGTGCCACCGCATCTTATTGTTTTGATGCGCAACCTATACTCATGAAAAGAGGCTACTATTAGAACAGAAAATAGAGAAACAGAACAGTTTCCAATTGGCAAAAGTGTCTGACAAGGGTTATTTTATCTCCCTAGCTGTTCAATCTCTATGCAGAACATATAACAAAAGCTGAATTAGGTTTAGATGAAGGTGGAGTCAAAACTGGTGGAAGGAACATTCACAGTTTGAGATATGCAGATGACACCACATTAATGGCAGGAAACAGTGAAGACTTGAAAAAAAATACTAATGAAGGTTAAAGCAGGAAGTGCGAAAGCAGGATTACAGCTGAACATCAAGGTCAAAAGCAACGACTAGTGTGGAACTATGCAAATTTAGGGTTCAGGATGAAGAACTTGAAATTGTTCAAGCTCTTCTGTTCCTTGGCTCCACTGTCAAGCAAAAGGGAGACTGCAACCAGAAAATCAGAAGGAGATTGAGGCTGGGAGTGGCAGCCACGAAGATGCTAGAAAAGATTCTTAAGTGTTAAGGATGTGTTGTAGGCGACCAAGACTAAGATAACATATACCATAGTATTCCCCATTACTATGTATGGGTGTGAAACCTAGACAATGAAAAAAGCTGCCACGAAGAAAGTTGATTCATTCAAACTGTGTTGTTGGAGGAGAATTTCAACAGATACCATAGGCCGCCAACAAGACAAATAAGTGGGTTCTAGAACAAAGCAAGCCTGAACTCTTCCTAGAAGCCTAAAATGGCTAAGCTGAGGCTATCCTACTTTGGTCACGTCGTGAGAAGACGACTCACTGGAAAAGACAATAACCCCAGGGAAAGTTGAAGGCAGCAGGAAAAGAGGAAGACCCAGCAGGAGATGGACTGACTCAATCAAGGGAGCCAAGGGCCCCTCAGTCTGCAAGACCTCAGCAAGGCTGTTGACAATAGGGTGTTTTGGAGGTCCTTAATTCATTGGGTTGCCATAAGTTGGAAATGACTTGACGGCACTTAACACACACAAAGATTGCCCCCACAATGCAGTCTGTACAGACCAGGTACCATGCTATTAAAAGGTAAAGGTTCCCTTGCTTGAAAGCCAGTCGAGTCCGACTCTAGGGTTGCGGTGCTCATCTCCGTTTCAAAGCCGAAGAGCCAGCGCTGTCCGAAGACGTTTCCGTGGTCATGTGGCCGGCATGACTAAACACCGAGGCGCACGGAACGCTGGTACCTTCCCACCAAAGTGGTACCTATTTATCTACTTGCAATTTCTTGCTTTCGAACTGCTAGGTTGGCAGGAGCTGGAACTAGAGACGGGAGCTCACTCCGTCATGCGGCACACTCGGGTCTCGAACTGCTGAACTACTGACCTTCCGCAGCCTGCAATTCAGCATCTTAACCACTTGAGCCACCACAGCTTTACCATGCTATTAGTAATGGATAAATATTCTTATCTGTGGAATAAATCCCACAAAAGCTAAAATGCATTAATATATTTTTTATTTTTTATCTTGTTTAATTCATTTATACCCTGACTTCCTCTCCAATGGGGACCCAAAGCAGTGTACATCATTCTCCTCTCCTTCATCCTACCCTCAGAATAACCCCATGAGGTACATTAGGCTGAGAGTGTGGACCGGCCCAAGGCCACCCAGAAAGCTTCTGAGGCAGAATGCGGATTTGCTCTTGGGTTTCCCAGATCATAGCCCGGCAATCTGACCACTGCACCACTCTGGCTCTTAATAGTATCACACTAAGCTGACTTTCTGGAACAAAATGATCAAATCCTAGAACTACAAGACAGCAGAAGCACATCAAGTCCAGCCTCGTTCCCCAGAGCCCATGCATCAGCCCTCCCGACCAAGTACTCCACACTAGGAGGCCTGCAGGAGAGTCTGTCCCAGGGCACTCAAGCAAATGATCAGCACCACAAATTACATGGAAAGGCAAAGCTCCTGCTCATCAGTTCTTTCTAGTATGGTGATCAGTTGGACCTCGAGCATAAAGCACACACCCAATCAAGTGCTACCGCCTCCAAAATAATCCCACTCAAGAGGGATGTGGTGTGGGCCTTCCTCTTAGGTAGGGCACAAAACCAACAGAGGGACTCCTCCCTTCACAGATACATTTTTGGGTATTTTGTGTGTGTGTGTGTATGCGTACACCTGGAAGTCATGGCAATCTCTGGTGACTGACCCCTACTGGTGACCTGGAGGATATTCAGAGAGGTGGCTGGATAAAGCCTGCCCCCGCTTCCCACCGCTGGTATTTCAAGGAGGTCTCCCACCCAAGTACTTGCCAGAGTCGACTCTTTTTAGGTTCTGAGATCTGAGGAGATCAGGCTTGCCTGGGCTATCCAGGTCGGGGCACCTTCACAGATACATTTTGAGGCCCCTTTGCTTCTTCAGCTATTGTTGGGGAAAACATTTGAACACGTTACATTCAAATGCAACAACAGATAGCAGCGGTACAGGTTTTTAAAAAATGTTTAAGACCTTTTAACAGTGCAGTGCACTTACAACAGCTCTGTATGGTACATCGTATCAGGATTACTATCCTCATATTGGGGAGGAAGGCTGAAAAGAGTGCCTTGCCTGAGAATTCCTAGAAGGTGCAAAACACAGGGTTGCCAACCTCCAGGTGGGGCCCAGTGGTCTCCCAGAATTACAACGGCAGTTTCAGAAGGTGGATAGATCCTGCTGAGGTACCTCCCTAAATGCTACCATCCCCAGATTCCACCCCAAATCTCCAAGAATTTCTCCCCCTGGAGTCAGCAACCCTATGAAATCTGAACCTAGGACATCCTGATTTATGGTTGTCTTCTAGTTGCTATGCTGCTGAAGCTCTCATAAGAAGTTTCTGGGAAATAAGGACCGATTCCGCAAAAGCAGTTGTTCCTCCCTTGGTCTTCCGTTTTCCCCTGGTCGTACTGCTCAATTTCCCACTATTTGCTGTGCAGCCATATTTTGACCTGCATTTCTACCCCAGATTCCCCCCACGTCTTTTTGATCCTAAAAAATAAGGATCAGGGAGATGCGGGTCAAAATGCGGCCGCGCAGCCAATAGTGGGAAATTGAGCAGTACAACCAGGGGAAATGGAAGACCGAGGGCGGAACAACTGCTTTTGTGGCATCGGTCAAGGTCTCATCCTGATAAACAGCAAGCTTGTTCACATGCCTCAAGAAACAGGCTAGACTTTCCTCCCCACACATTCACACACTGAGGGATGCCAGCCTCCAAGGGGGACCTGGAGATACCCCAGAATTACAGCTTCTCTCCAGACTAGAGAGATCATCAGTATCCCTGGAGAAAACAGATGCTTTGGAGGGAAAACTCTATGGCATTATACCCCATTGCGGTCCCTCTCCTCCCAGGCTCCATCCCCAAATCCCCAGCAGTTTTCCAACTTGTATTTGGCAACCCTACCCCCCCCCCTCCACTGGTGTCCAAGAAAGACCTGGCAACCCTACACACACCTCAAATCTTTAGCAATTGCCTACCTGGGTTTCTGCAGCCTGGGCCTCCCTCTTCTAATCCTCAGACGGGTTTGGTGGGGAAAACTGGACTCCTGGCTGAAACCTAGACCTCCCAGCATCGGAGCGATACCCCTGCCATCCAACAACTGTGCCTCTGTCAGTACTGACTAGGTTGAACCACTTCCCAAGAAGATCAGCAGCAAAGTGAAATGGGAGCTGTGAAAATCATCATAGGATGGAGCTAGGCAGGGCGGGGAGAGGGGCAAGCAGGTTCATGATGAATTGGAAGGGCTAAATCTGTCCAGTGCAGCCTTCGCCAAGGCTAGTGAGGCCTTAAATAACGGAGGGATGTCAACACCAAGAGGGCAGAGGCTGTTTGGAGCGACGGGCACAAGTGTGACCCAGAGTGACCCATAGGTGTGGAAGAAGGGAACCGCTTCAGGGAACAGATTCTCCCCCAGGCTGCAAAAGAGCAGAATTGCCAACTTCGAAGCTTCTGAAATTACAGACCCAGATTCCTGCTTCAATGGGACGTAGTTCTTTAGAATCACAACAGGAGAGGAAAGGACCAGGAATAAATCATAGGTCTGTGGTCTTTTTAAAAATCTGCCTCCTGGGTTCCTGTGGCCTTGGGTTAAATGAGGTCTTTTGGCAGGGGTGTGTGCCAGTCCCATTACAGGGGGCATTAGATCCTGGCAGATTGGCAGAATGGAGAAGCTAAAGCCCTCTGTGGATGAGTGAATTTAGTGCCCTAGACAGAATTATCCAAAGTTGCTTTTTAAATTTCAAGCAGATCCTGGCTTTCTAAAAATATATTTTTTAAAAATCATTTTGGACCAATAAGGGGCTGTGGCTCACTGGTAGAGCATCTCCCTGGCATGCAGACGGTCTCAGATATTGAGGTTAACTGGTGTGGTTAGTCCAGTCACCATTAGTTAGCAGAGTGCTTAAATAAAGCTACAAACACAGGAGCGTCACTTTACCAGGTCACTCAGCTTACAAAGCTATGCAGAGCCACATTGCAAGTTTAGACGAGAAATACTTGTCTCTTTATTTGAGAAGTACACTTCTCAAATAAATAACTTCTCAAAGATTACTAATTTACTAGCTAAAGGATAGAGGCAGATGGTGAGAGGCCCATCTGCCTCATGGTGCCAAGAGAGGACCTCATGTCCGTCTCTTGGTGCGTGCAGGTAGAGAGGAAGTGAGTGAGTGAGAAGCAGGCAAGGGGAAGGTGATCCCTGAGAACACAATCTGCATATCAAAGAGGTCAGTGACAGAAGAGTAGATACAGGAAGAAAGGTCAGTGTGCCTGTCTAGCTATCTAGTCTCTCTTGCCACTCAGTCTGGAGGTCTGAGACAGGGGGACATCACATCTGGTACTTCCAACACCAGGTTCAATCCCCAGCACTTCCAGTTAGAAGGGCCAAGTAGCAGGTGATAAAACACCTCTGCCTCAGCCCCCGGGACAGCTGCTGCCAGTCTGACTTTGGGTTGCCAGCTCTGAGCTGGGGGGAAACCTGGAGACTTTGGGGGTGGAGCCTGAGGAGGGCAGGGTTTGGAGAGGGGAGGGACCTCCTCGGGGCATAATACCATAGAGTCCACCCTCCAATGCTGCCCGTTTTCTCCAGGGGAGCTGATCTTGGTAGTCCGGAGATCAACTGTAGTAGCGGGCGATCTCCGGGTGCCAGCTGGAGATTGGCAACCCCAGTTTGACCATACAATACTGCCCTTGCTGGACCAATGGTCTGACTCCATAGAAGGCAAATCACAGTGTTCATTATACAATGGGAGGAGCCAGGGCTCAGTGGTAGATCATGTGCTTGGAATACAGAAATCCCCTGGTTCAATCCCCGGCATCTCCTGTTAAAAGGATCCGGCAGGAGGTGATGAGAAATACCTCCCCACCTGAGACCCTGCAAGAGCCACTGCCACTCTGAGCAGACAATGCAGAATAATGGGCCGATTCACTACAAGGCAGATTTATGTGACCGATAAAGTGCATCTGGAAAGGAGTCACATGTATCAAGGCTGACAGTGTTCATGTATTATACCTGAGGACCTCAGGAGAAGAATTGAGTGCTACAGCTAAAGTGATGTCATGGTGCCACAGTAATGCTGATTAACATGACTCCGGCCGTGGTCAGATGTGCCTTTAGATCTGACTCAGCTGTGAATGCCTGACAGATCTAAAGGGCACAATCAGACAGCAACATCTGGGAAAGGCCCCGCAGCCGTCAGCACTCCGTGCTGCCCTGCCACAGAAACGAAGTTAAAAGACACCGGGGAAAGGTCTGCTCATTCCATACCGGCTTGGTGCTGGTTTCCCCCACACACACTTAGCAGTATGCACATAACTGCATACTCCTTGGGGAACCCTCAGTATGGAGGCGCAATTCCTCGTTTGTGCACATGGGAAACAAAAGGCAAAAAAAAAAAAACCACTCGCCCGAACGTGCCATCTGATTGGGCAGTGACAGGCTGAGCCCGCAGCTACAAAGGATGTGTGATCAAGCAACACCATGTCAATTTCAACCTGGGGAAACAGGCTCACTTCCCCTCTGCACCAAGTGGCACATCTGACCACGGCCTCCATCTCACTGGGCTGGCAACCCTAACATGGCAGGTTTCCTCAAGGTTTCCCTTCCCCTGTCCCCCATCAGTGGCCAAATGAGACAGGTAGAAACACCGTTTAAAAAGTGCTCAGGATAATAGCTCCTCCATGATGCAAATGGACAGACATAACCTACAGATAGTCTGCCAAGTTCTAGTGCCCAGATGCCAGAGGGGTGTGTGCGCATATACAAGTTATTCTTTCTACTTAACTTTTTTGGGGAGGTTCCCCCAATTTGTCATAGTTCCCGGCTACTTTAGCAGAGCTCTTTATGCAAATTCTGAAACTGTCCCCTTACCTTAATCGTTTCTGGCACAATCCTTGTTGCATTAAGAAATCAGATTCTTGTTAGGCCCTTAGAAGTTAAGTAAGGCTGTTCCTACCCCCCCAGGAAAAGCAGGAAGCCCTTGTGTGGTGGCAGCATAACCCACTAGAACAACTTAATTCATATGCTTTATTTCAATAGAGCAGCACCGAGTAAAGCAAAAAAAGCCAACACGTTTTTTCTAAAGTTGCATTTTGATTCTAGTACAACCCAAGAAATGAGCTATGTGCAAGATTGCATCAGTTTTATTAGCAATCTAGCCAGGAGACAGGAAACAGAATAGCTCACAACACAAAAGTGCAAAGCAATATATAACACAAGTAAAACATACTCTGCTAATCCCTGAGAAAGAATGGGCACCATGAAAAACATGAGGTATGCAAAGCCGGAGGGGTGAGTGACTCCAAACCTGAGAAAATTAAGAGTGTGAGCCCCAGTGGTTGTAATAGCACTTAAACGTGCTTGAAATGTGCTTGGATCACACCACTGCCTGGTTTATTCGATGGCCAGATCATGCCAACTGGTAGAATTAAAGGAGACAGGTTTTCCCAGACTGACAGGGATGGATGCTTGAAACTTCTCCCACAACAGAACACTGTTCATAAATAGAAAACTAGTTTGCTGGTGAGCAGGAGCTGGTCCTACCTCCTTCCTGTCGCTGTAGCTGTGAATTTGAAAGGATGGGGGTGGGAGGTGGGAGGCACCCTCTGCACCCTGAATGGCAGCCAGGATTGGTACGGTGTCAGGAAAGCATTATCACTTGATTCTGCTTAAGCTGGTCAGAGAGATGATAAAAATTTAAGCAATTCTCAGTTGGGAGGAGAAAGGGGATAGCTCCACAACAATTTTTCCCAGGTGGACTCAGCCACAGTCCTATTGGTCTTTCCCAAGTGGACTCGGCCACTGCCCCATGGTCACTCCACCATGGTGTTGTTGTTCAGTCGCACAGTTGAGTCCGACTCTTTGCGACCTGTCTTCAGCCATTCTCTGGAGTTCGCTCAATTTCATGTTCGTTGCATTGATAACACTGTCTAACCATCTCATCCTTTGCCGTCCCCTTCTTCTTTGACCTTCAGTCTTTCCCAGCATCAGGGTCTTCTCCAGTGAGTGCTCCCTTCTCATTTGGTGGCAGAAGTATTTGAGCTTCAGCTTCAGTATCTGACCTTCCAGGGAACAGTCAGGGTTGATTTCTTTTAGGATTGACTGATTGATCTTCTTGCAGTCCAAGGGATTCTCAAGAGTCTTCTCCAGCACCATAATTTGAAAGCAGCTATTCTTTGGCGCTCGACCTTCCTTATAGTCCAACACTCACAGCCATATAGTGCTACTGGGAATACCATTGCTTTGACCATACGGACTTTTGTTGGCAGGGTGATGTCTTTACTTTTTATTATGCTGTCTAGGTTTGCCATTGCTTTCCTCCCCAGGAGCAGGCATCTTTTAATTTCATGGCTGCTGTCACTGTCTGCAGTGATCTTGGATCCCAGGAACGTGAAGTCTGTCACTACTTCCACGACTTCCCCTTCTATTTGCCAAGGAGTGATGGGGCCGGATGCCATGATCTTAGTTTTTTTGATGTTGAGCTTCAAGCTAACTTTTGCGCTCTCCTATTTCATCCTTAGCAAGGGGCTCTTTAGGTCCTCTTCCATGGTGTGCCCCCGCCAAAGGAGAACCACACCACAGCACTTGATGTCTTAGGGACTGCAACCAGCTGCCAATGTCCCATTCCCAGGAAGGATCCGCCTGCCAGGCGCAATTTACATGGGACAATTTACACAGTCTCCTTGGGATCACAGTGCCTGGGATCACTGCCAGTCCCTAAATTAGCCTGGACCAGGGGTCGTTTCGTAGAAAAAGAGCTAGGGGAACTCATTAGCATAAATGACCTCTGGCATGGACAAATGATGCAACAGTGACGAGTCACATCCGACAAATACTATGAGGCAGTGCGTTCCCCTGGGAGGCACTAGGGTTCTTCTGGGTGAGGTTGATGTTGTTTGGGTTGGCTGTGGGGCAAGCCCAACCCTGCCCAGCGGAGGTGGTCATCCTCTCACCCAAGCGCCTGGGGTGCGACCTGTGGGCTGTATGCTGGGATCACCCAGAAAGGAAAAGGAATGGGGGGACATCTGGGAGGACAACTGGAAGCCATGATCTTACTCCGCCGGGTCCAGAGCAGGGTGCCCCAGCAGGGGGAGGCTGACTTTCAGAAAGGACAACTCATCCACCCTGGCTGTGTCCAGGCGGGATTGGTTGGGGCTGAGGATGTCTCCCAGGTGGGAGAACACTCACTTGCTCTGCACACTGGTGGGAGGGCAGGAAAGAAGACTGATGGCCATGCTAGCAAGGTCTGGCCAT